CCTGGGGCGGGCATCCTCCTGGGGCGGGCGTCCTGGGGCAGCGCGCCCGTAGAGGTCTTCAGCCACTCTTCCATCTTCATCCTGTTTTACCCTTTTTTTTTCCTGGGCCCTTATTGTTTGATTCTTAGTCTTTGGTTTTCTGAGGTACGGCCTCTTTGAGTTTCCGACTTCGTGAGCCTTGAAAGGTTTGCACAGCTCTGCTTGAACTGGCAGCTAGCTCAACAGCCAGCTAGCAACCAGCTTTATCGTTAAAAATTCAGTCTCTGAAGTACTCGGCCATTTAAAGAAGGCCTCAACAGGAAAACCGTGGTGCACTCTGCTCTTCTGAAAAGCATGATAAGCGCCAGGATGTTAATTGTGGTGTACCATGTATCCCTGGGGCCGGGCACGTGCCTCTGAATAAATGTGTTGTGTGCGGGAAGGAATGAGGGCAGTGCTCCAGAACCATGCGCTGGAGAGGGAATGCTGCTCTTCTGAATTGCAGCCTACTGAGGGAATTCAGTGTGGCCTTCTGCCTCCAGCACCCACGCTGGGTTGGTGTCGATGGATTTTTTTTAAAACGTAGTTCATAATGGTTCTCTCTAAAAGGGTTTTCCTTGAGGCTAGAGCCCAATTCATTTTTTTTCATTGAAAGTGTGAGCGTGTAAATGAATTGGACACTACCAGCTCTCGTGTTCTCAGGAGGTAGCGTTTGAGGGAGTCTCAGGTAAAAATATTGCTTTGCAAGTTCCTTATTCATCAGTGAGATTTAATAAATAGCTGGATGGTATTATAAAAAATAGCATTAATGTTACTGTATTTCCTTGGCAGCATTTCATTTCCATGTTAAAGATTTTTAGTGTGCCTGGTTTACATAATATCTGAATGTGTTGCAGCATCGCCTTGAATCCTTGGCTAAGTTGTGGCTGGATTCAGCTGTAAATTGTAGGCATCCGAGGAGAGCATCCTAGGGAAGGAACATTAACTTCTTGCCACAGCCATGCTGTTTCTAGGTGTCTGCTGCTGGCCACTGTCAGGTTGTGTGACTAGATAAAACTTTGGTCTGACCTGATGTGGCCATTTTTTATGTGACTTTTTCCAGGCAATTATAATACCATACATTTTTAAGATTAGTAAAAAGATGCATGCTAATCAAAATCAGAAATTTCTGTTGGTAATAAATGCGTATGTAACGTCATGAGTCAATTTTGATATACAGTTTCTGCTCTTCTTTTTCCTTTGCCTTTCCTGCAGATTTCAACGAGATGGTTCTGTGCTGGGGAGACCTTGATCTCTCCAGTAGTATGCAAACTGGCTTTGATCCTTGGGGTCCATCGTAAAGATTCTTCTTAGTTATTGTTGAAGTATTGCGTTGATCGATGAAATAATCAGATGCTGCTCAAGTTGCTCTTCATGAACTGGCCAAAAGTTGCATTGAGGGGATACTTTTAATTACTAGCCAAGTTCTTGGAAAGCCTTTACGTGTTCTTGGAATTTTGGGTGGCTTGTGATTTCAGATAGCTCATCACTTTGGAATAGGGTTCAGTTGTACCAGCCTCCCATGCAGAAGTTTTTCTATGTATGTATGAAAAAGCTGACTTACTAATTTGTTTATTTTTCTTTAACAGCTGAAAGCTGACGTGGTTCCAAAGACAGCGGGTAAGGCAGCATCTCCAGAATTTCATACTTAAATTTTTAAGGTTTGGATTGTGATTGTCAGGAACAAGAATATTCTGTCACCTTTTGGAAACTATTGCCATGTTCTATCCCTATTTGTCAAATAGAGAAATACGATACAAACTTTGTCAGAGCAGTGCTAGTGAGGAGTTACAATTTGTTGTTGTTCCAGATAGTTTCATTTTGTAATTTGTGCTAAGACAGTACAGTCTATGTGTTCGGTTATCAGTGGTGAATAAATATGTTTAAAAACATATTAGTCTGCATTAAAATCAAACCCCAAAGCAAATGGGAAAGGGTAAACCAAAGGGATGGTGTCTCTTAGAGTTTCCAAAGAGCACACAGGGTTTTTTTTTCCTTGTCGCTAGCTGATCAGTGCACTCATGTTACAAAGGTTTTGTATTTTATCATGTGCTTCCTTCCTCATCTGTTTCCTTAGTGATTCTGAAAAACTGGTATTTTTCTTTCAGTTCCCAGTAGATGTATGTCCTTAAAAAAAAAAAAAGCATCATCTTCAGAATTACTAGAGAACAAACGCGTAAAAGTCAGAAAATGAAATCTTTGACTCCAGAGTGGTGGGTTTGGGGAGGCAGGGGGCGGGTTGGAATTAAGATATAACAGCAAAGTAAAAGGGAGGTGAGGTGGAAAAGGGTTGTGTTTGTACCCTGTTTGGAGGCTAAAGAAGCTTTTTCTCCTTAGCTTTATAACAGAGGTTTTTTAAAGCATGGAAACAACTGATAGATCAATAATATCTTAAAGATACTATAAATTTTTTGATGCGTATAAACTCGGGACATAGTTAATCTAGTTGTGTTTGATTATATCATGTATCACGTATGGCAACATAATACTTTATGCTTTGTTTTCACAGAAAACTTTAGAGCTCTTTGTACTGGTGAAAAAGGATTTGGGTATAAAGGATCCACTTTTCACAGAGTGATTCCTTCATTTATGTGCCAGGTAACGGTGTTTGGGTTTTTTTTACTTTTGCTATTAAATTTATCTGTATGTTATTTATATATGTTTAGAACTGGTTAGATTTGTAGTGGCTCTGCTCTAACCTTTGCCAACTACAGCATAAAGAAGTGACGGCGTGACTTGTGTTTCTGATCTTTTTGTTATGGCTGTTGCTTAGCGTATCTTTTGTACAAATAAATGTAAATTACATGCAGACTGTCTTAAAAAAACTGGCTTAAGGCTTTCAGCTTTTGTATAGCAGTGTACTTTAGTGTGGGACGTATTTGGCAAAATGGCACTTGCCTGGGAGAAGCATTTGTGGGTAGAAGGACAATCAACCTTGTGTTCTAAGTGAGCTAAGAAAACAACATGTCCATTCTTTATTCCCAGTAGAATAATCTGTTCGCAATAGAGAATGTGTTTTTAAAAAAAAATAAATTATTCTGAACATCTCCCGAATGTGGAGGGGAAGAGGGAACCAAAAGGGTTGGTTGGGGTAGATTTTTGGGGTGACACACCTGAAATGGATTTTCTTTTGATTTAAAGGATGAATCTTTCCAAATTCTGAATTAAAGTCCATGCACGTTAGCAATTTTTTCTTAAACAGGAGCAGCAACAACAACAAAAAAACCAAACAGAAAAAGCCTTTTTGAAAGCCTTTTTTCTACTGTGCTTGGTAGATGAGCAGGATTTCAGCTGCTGTAGTGCACTGGATTGTATGATTCCCGGTGGTCCTCTCTTCCCTTAAAAGAAGCTACGTTGCCACAGCATTGCATCGTAGAATGGCTCTAAAAAGTTTTGAGATGAAGGTTATAGTAAGCGTGCTTTATTTATTAGCTGATGACTGTGATGGTGTCGTCCCCTGCCCCCCCCTTTTTTTTTTAAGGTAAAAATACAGCTGTCAGAACAAGAAGCCCTAATCTTACGACCTATTTCTAAGAAGAGAAAGGGGACAAGTGCTGTAAAGGACCTGTTTTCTTGCCTTTGAAATGCAAACTGAAGTTTTGTGATGCTGACAAAGGGACAAAGTTTAGAAGGCTTGCTGGGGTCAGAAATACATAAATATAAGAAAAATAGAAATCCTGTTCTCAGTTCTACCGCTAATTTGTTAAGTTCCGTGTAAGTCTCTTCTCCTTGCGTCCCTGTTTTGTCCCCACAAATGGACCAGAAATGAGGATACTAGGTGGTTGACTCCGTGGTACGGTGAGATGATGAATTCATGTTTAGGAATTTCTTGGTAGTCATTACCAAAGTGGAAATACCGTCGTAGGTTTCAAATAGTTTAAAGTGAGAGGAAACAGTAGAGGCCTTTCCACTTGTTGAGATGGAGCATTAATATGATTCAGGCAATTGGTATAGCCTAATTGGAGGTCGTCAGACCCAGGACTTGGCAGTTCAGATGCCTCCACGTGGCATGCAGCATGCAGAGCATACTTCTGGGACTGCGTAGGAGTAGGTGTAACACCACCTGTAATAGATTGCTCAAGGTGAGAATGGAATGATGGACATCACGTACTTGTTAGGTACGAGTTATTTGCCAGCATGGGTGGTGTCGCTTCTGGGAGAGGAGATGGCAGATTGCTGGAAGCAATGTTTAGTATCCACCTTTGGGAGTTGCTGTGGCTGGTGTTTGGGTTGGGTTGGTTTTTTTTTGAGGGGGGGAGGGGCGTTGTGTGTCTAACCTAAGCCAGGGGGTCACATCTGTCCCAACAAACAGCATATAGTTGAGGGAAGTTTAAAATAGCTCAGGTGTAACACTTAAACAACAAAACCTAGAATAGCAGATAGTAATAATGGAGATCCTGACCAGTATTTATACTTGTTGGGAGAAAGAAAGAAAGAAAGATAAAACAAAAAGTTCTCAGGTCTTGCCTATGGTAATGAATATGGGTGATTTTGTTTTGAGGCCTTTGAGGTGTTTCTCAGAATTACTGCTATTTGTTGCATCACGTTTGGGAGCAAGGCTGGTAGCACAGAAAGGTGGTTGTTGGAGCTATGGATGTCAGTTGGAGAATATCAGCAATATCTGGAGCAGAAATTTACTTTTAGCTTGATTGTATCTTCATCTAGTTACATGGTTTTAAATCCTCACGTGGCCATACTCATTCTTAACCTGAAGAAAATTTGCTGATTTTATTACTTTTAAATTAGAGCAAGTGAGTGTATTTTCAATAGCATCACTTCTGATGTAAAATAATGCTTGTGTGCTAGTAAAGTTAATAGCCGTTTCTGTTTCAGGGTGGTGACTTTACGAATCATAATGGAACCGGTGGAAAATCCATTTATGGCAGTAGATTTCCAGATGAAAATTTCATACTTAAGCATGTAGGACCTGGTAAATAAACATATTCTTCCTACCTTCTGATGACTAATCTATAATGAAGCATTGCTTATGAAGATGTATTTTAAGGTTTTTTAGATGTGTGGGGCACTTGGTAGTTACAGAAATATCAAGGAAGTTTAACAGTGCATTGTCCCTGGCATGTGCTTATTTGTGTAGACTGCTGTACATATAAGTCGGCCTGTAACGGGTGACATCGCCACTCTTGCTCTTACTATAAAAGGGACTGCGCAAAATAAAGTATGGTTTTTCTGTATTTTACTTACAAATTCTACAAAGGTGAAGTTGCTGCTTGTATTTTCCCCTTCCGTAAGTCATAGACTTGAATTTTTACTTACATGATTAGTGCAGAAGTGAAACAAAGCAATCTGGGATTTCTTATTTACTAGATAACGCAGGCACATCCTTTTAAGCTCAAATTTTAAGTCGAGAAAAAATAAAGGAAAAGCCATACATAAGAACATCTGACTGAGTTCTGTAGTCTCTCTTTTGGATTGTTACTTCCTCATCACAGGAAACTACTGCTGCTGTTGAACCACAGTAGGGGTTACCTGATGTTAATCACATTCAGGACGTGTACAACTAATTATACTACTAACATTCTTGCTGTGGAAAGAAGGGAGGCTGGGCTGGAGGGAATAGTCAAAGACAAGAAGCTGGCATTAGAAATCATTCGGAGGCGATGCGAGACCATCACATCTTCTGTCTGTCCATCTTTACCCTAAATGTGCAGAGGAAGATTGTCTTCTCCGCTGCGTACTTGTTACACCAACCTAATAAGCTGCTGCCGCTGTTTTTTCTAGGTGTTCTTTCAATGGCCAATGCGGGACCCAACACAAATGGATCTCAGTTCTTCATTTGCACTGCAAAAACTGACTGGTAGGTTCTCAGCCCTGCATATTAACTGATGAATTGATGCCTGGATCCGGAGGGTTTGGGGTTTTCTAAGGGTCAGGGTTTTTTTGTTTGTGGGTTGATGGTTTTTTGTTTGTTTTGTTTTGGGGGTTTTGTTTTTAACTTCCAAATGACTCAACTCGCAATGGAAAATAAATTGTTTTGTGCTACTTGAGGGAGGAAGGGCTGTGAGGGTGACAAGGCCACTGTCCCTCATAATGCTTCTAAGGTCCAGATGTAAAAGTATTTCATGTCACTTGTAGAGCAGTTGTGCATTTGCCAACGAGTTGGTCAGCAGGTGAGAGCTCTGAGGATCTAACATGCCTTCACTGAGCTCGGTTTGGTCCAGTCTTTATGTTGTTTTAAGTAAAACTGCCTTTGTTTATTTTTTTTACAGGCTAGATGGAAAACATGTTGTTTTTGGGCATGTAAAGGAAGGGATGGATGTCGTGAAAAAAATTGAGAGCTTTGGTTCCAAGAGTGGAAAGACCTCCAAAAAGATTGTCATTACTGACTGTGGCCAGCTGTCCTAGCCTTTTGCCCTACCATTCAGGACAACTTTGATGCTGTGAAAAATGAATCATAAAAAAAACCCCAACATTTCTGATCCCATGAATAGCACCTATGGAACCGTATTTTCTATTTCGCTTGGTCCAACTTTTATATTTATATTGAATAACATTGATTAAAAGCATAAAACAATAACTGAAACATGTTTTAACTGAGCTACTGTGGTAGTCACACTGTGTCGATTTGGTAGAGTCCCATTGCGTTTTGAAAGAAGTAGTACGGTCGCCCAGAGCATGTCTGACTGCAGCATTGATACTGTTCTTAGCATTTGGATGTTTCAGGTGTTAGAATCGGTGGTGGAGTTGACAACTAAGTGTTCTATAGTTGGGGGTTAGATATAAACTGAGGAATACCGTGTTTCCTTTGGTGCTAATAAACGCCTATTCTGCTACTTGTCTAATCATTTTGAAAAAATACTAACTAGTGCTTTCAAGGCTGGCTGCAACACGACTGTCAGACATTTTCTTCCTGTGTCTCAATTTTAAGTCTGTCTGATAGAATGAACGTGTGGTTGTGGGTTTTTTAAAATGAATTCTGGTTTAATCTTTTTTTTGTAGTCTCAGACCACTGTTTAAAACTGAACTCTACCTTAACCTTGCTTCAGTGGAGCAATCTGACTTTTGGGTTAAGTAAATTGCTTTAGGTTGAGTTAGCCTACTACTAGAGCTCCACCTGGGCAGTAACACCACAAATCAGCCAAAAGATCCTGGGACTTTTTTATTATGCAACTGTGAAGTTACTTGAAGTGCAGTTCTGCTCTGAGATCTGGTTCTCTGAGGAGTACAGCGCAGTTCTCGATAGATAGCCTATTTTTGTACTTTGAGAATATAATCGGAGTATAGTGAGCTCGCTTGAGTGAGAAACAGGTTTCATTGCTTTTTCGTCCTGTTGGTCCCGCGAAGTCGGCCCACCTTGGGTATTACTTGGATTATGATTTCTTCTCGTGCATCGTCATCAGAAGTCAAAATTGGTCACCACGAAATCACAAGGCCTAATTGGTGCAGCAAAATCATTATTGTTGGGGTTGATGCACGCGAAGGAAAGAATTCAGCTGATCAGATAAACACATTTCATTTGTATAAACCGGTATGTTTTGTGTGGAGTGCTTGAGCGGTAACGAGCGCTGGAACCTCACAACATCACTTTTAGAATCACTAAAGCTGTGAAGTATTAATGTTTGTGGGAAAAAGCACTCGACTGTTTTTGTGCAATAATCTCGTTACTGAAAAGAAAAATAAAATGTGATGGCTCTCTTCAAATGTGAATTTACTTCCATTGCATCCTGGTAATATGTGGGTTTAAAACTATTTTGCACTGGATTTTTTTTCCACTGAGGGCTGCGTTCTTGTGTGTACGAGATAGTATTCAGAGTGTAATTTTGCAGAAAATGGAATTGAAAAGCTTTTTATTCTTTCCATTATAGCTGTTTCATCTTTCTTTGTAGTATTTCTGAAATACTAATTTGTGCTGATTTGGCTTATTTCAGTTTGATAGAATAATGATTTTTTTGGTGTGTTCTTTTAATTTGTATATGAAAAATAATTAAATGCAGTTCTACCACAACAAAAGACTGTTCCTTTCTTAAATACGACTTTGCACACTTACTTGAAAGCAGGAGTGTGAGGAGCTGAAACCTGTTGTGTTTGCTCGGGCTGTTCTATTCCGTCCTCTTTGCGATGGGTCTGATCTAGTGGTATTCAGAAGCCGTGCTGTCGTTCAGAGATAGAGCCAGCGAGGGACGGGGCAACGGTGCCATGCTTTGCCTCTCGCTAGTGAATCTAAAATACCTGGTATATGGATAGCG